TTGAAGGGTTTTTTGTGTCTCTATCTCCTTCAGTTCTGCTCTGATCTTAGCTATTTCTTGTCTTCTGCTAGACTTTGAGTTTTTTTGATCTTGCTCCTCTAGCTCTTTCAATTTTGACAATAGGGTGTCAATTTTTGATCTCTCCTTGCTTCTCATATGGGCACTTATTGCTATATATTTTCCTCTAGAGACTGCTTTAAATGTGTCCCAGAGATTCTGGTATGTTGAGTCTTCGTTCTCGTTGTTTTCGAAGAACATCTTTTTTTCTGTCTTCATTTCATTGTTTATCCAGGCAGCATTCAGGAGCATGTTGTTCAGTTTCCATGAAGCTGTGGGGTTCTGGGTTAGTTTTTGAATTCTGAGTTCTAACTTGATTGCACTGTGGTCTGAGAGACTATTTGTGATGATTTCTTTTGCATTTGCTGAGGAGTGAATTATTCCCAACTATGTGGTCAATTTTAGAGTAGGTGTGAAGTGGTGCTGAGAAGAATGTATATTCTGTGGATTTGGGGTGGAGAGTTCTGTAAATGCCTATTAGGTTTGCTTGGTCCAGGTGTGAGTTCAAGTCCTGGATATCCTTGTTAATTTTCTGTCTGGTTGATCTGTCTAATATTGACAATGGGGTGTTAAAGTCTCCCACTATAATTGTGTGGGAGTCTAAGTCTCTTTGTAAGTCATTAAGAACTTGCCTTATGTATCTGGGTGCTCCGTATTGGGTGTGTATATATTTAGGATCTTTAGCTCTTCTTGATGCATTGATCCTTTTACCATTATGTAATGTCCCTCTTTGTCTCTTTTGATCTTTGTTGCTTTAAAGTCTAATTTATCAGCAATGAGAATTGCAACTCCTGTTTTTGTTTGCTCTCCATTTGCTTGGTAAATCTTCCTCCATCCCTTTATTTCAAGCCTATGTGTATCCTTGCTAGTGAGATGGGTTTCTTGGATACAGCACACTGATGGGTTTTGACCTTTTATCCAATTTGCCAGTCTGCGTCTTTTGATTGAGACATTTGACCCATTTACATTTAAGGTTAATATTATTATGTGTGAATTTGATCCTGCCATTTTGATGCTAGCTGGTTGTTGTGCCCATTAGTTGACAGTTTCTTCATTGTGTCAGTGCTCTTTGCCATTTCTTACATTTTTGGAGTGGCTAGGACTGGTTGTTCCTTTCTATGTTTAGTGCTTCTTT